AGACCTCATAGATCTTTTTAGTTTAGTTTTTAATGAACCACATTGCATAATATCATCAATATCATGTTCTCTGACCCATAAAAACAAGAAAGATGGGAAGCGTAGGAAGCAAAATTGCATAATATATGACTTGTTTTCAGATGATCTTGAATTAAGTTTATTTTTCTTACCCAACTGGCAAAATGTTTTATGCATGTACTGTATCTAACTACACTACTGTTCAAAAGTTTGTTTTAAAAAGAAATAACATAATTATTTATTCCTGTGATGGCAAAGCTGAATTTTCAGCAGCCATTACTTCAGTCTTCAGTGTCACATGACCCTTCAGAAATCATTCAAATATTCTAATTTAATGCTCAAGAAATATTTCTTATTATCAATGTTAAATACAATTGTGCTGCTTAATATTTTTGTGTGATACATTTTTGTTCAGGACTCTTTGATGAATAGAATACGGTGAACCAGTAGTGCACAACACAACAAAATCTCCACAACACAATGAAAACAAGCCGCAACTCAACAGAAACACGCAACAACACAATTAAATTAGCACAACACAACGGAAACAAGCCACAACACAACAAAGCTAGCACAACACAACAGAAACAAGCTGCAACACAACGGAAACACGCCACAACACAACGGAAACAAGCCACAACACAACAAAGCTAGCACAACACAACAGAAACAAGCTGCAACACAACGGAAACACGCCACAACACAACGGAAACAAGCCACAACACAACAAAGCTAGCACAACACAACAGAAACAAGCTGCAACACAACGGAAACACGCCACAACACAACGGAAACAAGCCGCAACACAACGAAGTTAGCACAACGCAATGCAAACAAGCCGCAACACAATGGAAACAAGCCACAACACAACAAAGTTAGCACAACACAACGGAAACAAGCCGCAACACAACGAAGTTAGCACAACACAACGGAAACAACCCATAACATAATGGAAACAAGTCGCAACACATCAAAATTATCACAACACAAGGGAAACAAGCCACAACACAATGGAAACACGCCACAACACAATTAAATTAGCACAACACAATGGAAACAAGCTGCAACACAACGAAGTTAGCACAACATAACGCAAACAAGCCGCAACACAATTAAATTAGCACAACACAACGCAAACAAGCCGCAACACAACGAAGTTAGCACAACACAACGGAAACAACCCTTAACATAATGGAAACAAGTCGCAACACATCAAAATTAGCACAACACAACGTGAACAAGCCACAACACAAAATTAGCACAACAAAACAAAATTAGTTGTCGGTGTCAATAACCTTGTGGTTAGTGCATCAACATACACTGCAACTGCACTCAAGGCGACCCGAGTTCGATTCCCATCTCGAGGTCCTTTGCCGATCCCGCTCCCCCCCTCTCCTCTCAGTGCTTTCCTGTCGTCTCTCTACTGTCCTATCTCAATAAAAGGCATAAAAATAACTAAAAAACACAAATTAGTCCTATGTGTTGTGTTGTGGAAATTTTGTTTGTGTAGTGCACTACTGGTCCACCATAATAGAAAGTTAAAAAAAACAGTATTTATTTGAGAGAGAAAACTTTTGTAACATTATGTCTACAGTCTGTTTAATGCATGCTTGATGAATACATTTAATTTCTTTACAAAAGCTTACTGATTCCAAACTTTTGAACAGTAGTGTACATTTAGTCAAGTTTACACATAAAACATGAAAGTTATTTTCCAATAGGCTGAAATGATTTTACCCAACTTAAATTGATCTTGTTTTTAGAATGTTTAGATGTAACATATTGTTTGCTTTTTACATTTCAAACAATTCCTGATGGATCAATGCAAGTCTCATTCTACATTTTTAAATCCTCTATAACGTCAAATAAATAGATCATATTACAGGTTATGAGAGGTAAGATGCTCTGATATGTTTCCTTTCTCTCATAAAGCTTTCAGTGTTGCTAAGCTTCTCATTCCGGTGAATGTGATCATTCAGTTCACATCACACTGTGGGTTCCAGACAGGCCTGTGTCTGTAAATGCAGGTGATGGTTATCTACTTCAGACACACCCTTCACTTCATTCATTCATCTTCAGCTCAGCATTATCTCTCTATTTCTCCTCCTCCGAGCAAACCGGGACGGATCGATAGAGCGTCTTGCTTCCATTAGACTGCATGCAGGTTAATGCTGCATTAAAATGTCTACATGCTCGCCGTATCTCGGCTGCTTCTTTTTTTGGATGGGAGAACTTTTTCTATCATTCTTTTATCAGTATCCATTCATCATAGTTCATGAAGAATTCATCCTCATCATGGTCATCTCTGCAAATGAAATGGATGGTGCGCGCGCACATGCGGTTTCACTGTCAATTCTCCCCATTTCTTTTACAGTCTCTTCTTACATGTTTTATTTTCCCCAGCATCGCGTCTCTGCAATCTCCTCCTACTTCCTTTCTCTCTCCTGCAACCTCCTTTCTGCCTCTTTTCTACAGCCCTACATCCTTCATTTACTTTAAAACAGACACTCTCCTCCTTCTAAAGCTCCATCCTCTAATCCTGTTAGAAGGATGGGCTTTGATCTCCTGTGAGTGATCATGTTTCTGGTGTGAAGAGAGAGAGTGGAAGTGAGAAAGAGTGCCACACAGATTAAAGAGGAATATGCATTGGTGTTGACGTTCCTTCACTACCTGAATCTGAAGTGACTGCGCCATTGGGACAGAGAAGTTATGATCATTTAATGCAGGTTATAAATCAGAGCCAGAGCTGCTTGGGAAGCACTGAGAAATACAATATAAAATTTGATCGAAAGACTGTAACTCACAATTATAAGCGATATAAAATACTGGATGTTGCATTTGTGACCAAAATGATCACACTGGGATGGGAAACTGTGGTTTCTAGTTGTTTTAAATGCGTGTATTAATATTACGATATAATGATGACATATAGTGATAATTTAAGGATGCAAGACATTCAAGCAGACATTATAAAAGCATTAGCACTCCTTCAGTGAATACTGGTTGTTGTATAAATATGAATCCATCATGTGTCCAGCTGAAATTGATTTAATTCCTGCCTTACACGGCTCACTGTTCTGTGCAACCTACAAATGAAGCCTTGCGGTAAATGTCTTTGTAATATGGAATAAGATAAGCCTTAAGAAGCAGCAGCTTATGTGTTCGCTTGTGCTCATTAGAGTGATGACGGGAGAAATCAAAGTCAGGAGGTTGTTGCATACAATAAACACACCAACTATTACTGTCGTTAGATATTTCTTTTTAATTTAGGCACCAATAATCAATAATGCAGGGACAATGCTCTCTCTCGTACAAATGCTATTTAGGGCTTAGTTTATCTAAAGCCACAAACAGACACGTTTATCTATCACAGTGGCGGGGAAATCTTCAGAACTGGAAATGCTACCAGACATTTGTGTCATTACTGGCTTGTTAAGTGAAACCGATTCAAATGTTTTCAAATGTCCATCATTAAACAATCAATCACTTTTAATATAAGAAGACCACATTTTAAACAAAATCATTTCTTTTCATTCTCTTTTTAAGGTAAATCAGGCTTAAGTCAGGAGCAATCCACCAAAGACAAGTTCTACAAAGAAGACACTTACGGGGTAATTTCAACAAGACAAGCAGCATTTATCTGTTTATTGACTGTTAAGATCAACATGACTGACTTTAGGTTATCTAAAATATGAATTCAACTTTTAAAGACAAATTAATTGGTGCTTTGGGATTTGCTGTTCGTTTTGTGTCAAGAATGTAACGTTAGTGAACTTTATCAGTTCGCTTTACACAGCACCAGTTAAAGTAGATGACTGTTTACTGAACGAACACCAGTCAAAGGTTTGAACACACTTATTCTTTATCATTACTAATGTCTATATTTTCAGAATAGTAAAGTCAACTATGAAAAAAATAAATAAAATATATTTTATTTTAAGGCTGGAATACGCTACAAGACTGAACAGATTCATACACTGGTCGACTAAAACACTTAAACAAAGGATTACACACTACCAGACTTTGAAAATCGGCTAAAAATATCAAACATCTCTGATATCCGACATAGGACATCAGACATAGTTGACAAATTTTAGAAAATCACGGTGTATAATGGGTGCATTTTTTTAGCTTCAGACAATTATTCATTCAATGAATAATTGTCTGAAGCTAAAAAAAAATGCACCCATTATACACTGTGATTTTCTAAAATTTGTCAACTTTGACCACCCAAAATCGGCAAACTGGCTGTAACTTTTGGAAACTAGAATAGACTCTTCCAAACGGCAAAATGGGGAAAAATCATGTAGTGTATTTCAGTCTTTAAGCAGCCTAGATTCCAGCTCCGCACACTCTGGGCAATCTCTCAACAAAGTAATGAAGAATCCACCTGGGAAGTTTTTTTTGAATAGTACTGAAGGAGATGCCATGTGTGCTGGGCACTTGTTGGCTGCTTTCTTTACTATTCGGTCCCATCATCCTTTTTTTTTTTTTTTTTTTGCATTTTAATGTGTTTTAACATTTAAGCATAGCTTAATCATCAGCCAAAAATTCTGTCAAGTGTGCTCAAACCTTTGACTGGTAATGTAGCTGAAGCTGCAGGTTTAACATTTAAGACACTAACAGGTAAATATATTTCATTGTTAATTTTTTAGAACAAAACAGCAGGGGGAGTCTTTGTGTAAATATATATTCTCAATATACAGCTGTATATAGTATTTTTTAGATATATTTGTAATCTATCTATACAAGTATACATATATAACAATTAGGAGGGTTTTTTAATATTCCTTTACCCTGACATTTTTTTTATGTACAGAAATATGTTTGAATAGACTGATAATATAAATAAATCACCACATTTCACCATGAAAAAAAAAATATTTTAAATGCATAACATTTCTATCCGAAAATACAACACATAATATTTAATGAAACACACACACACACCCATACTAAATTTAACAGTTAAAGATTGGCCAAACTGAGTTTATTATTTTCTTAATGATATTTTAAATCCTTACTAGTGGACCTGCTTGTCTTAGACTGAAGAGTCAGCAGAGGTTTTTTTGGCAGTATTTATTTTAGCTGTGGAATGAGGACTGAAACTGTGTGATTATGTATATGTGTTTGTGGAATGTCACTGATAATTTGTGTTACTTTGAATGTTCTTTGACATGTTATTTCAAGCACGCTAATCATTCCCCATTTGTATTCAGACTATAGCAAATTTTCAATTTGTCTGAGTGGCAATGTGTTTTTGATGAGCCTTTGTTAGTCTGTTTCACCTGATTCACTCAAATGAAGCAGTTACTAACACACTGTGTCCACAAACCTTAAAAATGATCATTATCATCAGGTTTTTCTATTTGCTGGCAGTAATATTACATCTGCACCTGGGCCATGGTTATATTTACGGCTGAATTTATGATTTGTGAATTTTATAGATTATTTTCTTCTGCTTTTATGCACGTTAAAGAAAAAGACCAAACATAAAACATTACAAAATTCAAGCATTACAAAACAACATTTGTGATGTTAAAAAACAGTGCAAAACAAAACAACAGCATAAAAAGTCTATTAGTGGATTTTTTTTTGTTGCATTAACGTCACTGCATCCTGCATAAACCACACAGTTGACACATGGAGCAAATAATAAATTACCCATTTGCAGTTAATTTGGCCCATCAATAAGCTTGCTCTCCCCTTTGAAGTCCAGGACATCCCATAGAAGGGTGGGATTTTCACAGTTGTGCTGTGCCCTCCAATGCTCAATAACGTCCTGTTTCTTATTAAACACCTTACTGCAAAGGATGCAGTTAAAGTGCGACCCCACCCTCAGGGATATACCTTTACTGAGGCCCCTTAATACATGGCCCCCCTTACCTATCATCTCCTCTTCGTCCTCCTCTTCTTGACTCTCTCTATCTTCTTGATGGTGAGAATGGAGGTGGCGTTTGAACTTGGAAAAGGAGAAGAACTCCTCGTCGCAGGTGCCGCAGTGCACTAGGTTGCGTTTCTCATTGAGCTGCCTCCAGTAATGTGCTGCATGTTTGACCAGTTCATCCTCTGCTTCACGGCCCCCGCGCATGGCCCCATCCCTCAATCGCACCTGGACCTCCTCTCCATGCACGTACAACAAATGCAGCTTCATGTCAGCAAAGGTAGGGGTGATGGCCTGGCAGCGCCCACACTTAATTTGTAGCTCGACTGGGTCAACACGTTGTTCTGAGGCCTGTTCATCAGCTTCCGAAGACCTGCAAGACAAGGAATGTCTATGTCAAGAACAAGGAGGCTTTAGCAAGAGTCAACGCTCAAAGTTTATTATTACTTACTCTCCTACAGACATGCTTTCTTCGTGTTGACTGATGGACGGTTCAACAGTAAGTATTACCCGGTGCACCTCTCTCAAGTGGCTGAAGTAGACACCCACATAGCCAAATGACTTCTCACAGAATTCACAGCAAAGGCTCTTCCGGGGCCTGCTTTCTGCATGGTGCAGCTTCATATGAGTGCTAAGACTGCCTGAGTGAGCGTAGGCCTTCCTGCATACCGGGCAGACGTAAGGCCGCAGGTTACTGTGGCTGTTCATGTGGCTCTGCAAGTGATGCTTGAACTGGAAACACCTGTTGCAGGTAGGACATCGATGCAGCGGACGACTTCCTGTGTAAATCACTCCTCCACCACCTTTACATTCTACCACAGGCTGCTGATCAGTAGCTTGCGAAGACTGTGGAGCACTCGATTGTTTTCCTGATATCTGCTGTCCTAAAACGAGCTCCTGATCAAGGTTCTCCGATGTTGACAAGGAAGGGAGCGGAACAAGTTGTGGAATTGTGGTTTCCACTACCAGTACCGGCTTGGGACGAATACTCCGATACTTTTTGGATATGTCAAGAAGCTTCTCTTGAGAGGCAGGATTCGACACACCAGTTGGAGGTTTCTCAGGTACCCTCCTTCTAAAAAACGACAAGGATCTCTTCTTTCGGGCTTCGAAGGCTAGAATATCCTCCATTGTTTTTCTCTTCCTCCCCCGTTTCTTGCCTGGAGGTTTCTTGATTTGGGTGTTGTTGTGGTCTTGGCTTAGGCTTTCACTTTTAACTTTGCTGTCTGTGGACTTGATTTTGTTGTCTGGGGGGCTTTTCAGGCTGCTTTTGGCTCCAGTCTGCTTCTCTGAGAATGGGGTGCTGGCAAGGCTGGTTGGTGCCAGGAGGGAGTTCTTCACCTTGGCATAGGGCAGGATGGGCAGCTTGCCCTTGGGTGGAGATGGAATGATCTGAACAGCTTTGCTAAAGATAGTGGGTGACAGGACTGTGATGGCACTGCCAGCCGAGGCTTGACCCTCTATTTGTGTTTTAACCGGTGAGATTTTCATGACAGGGGCAACAAGGGAGTTTCCAGAAGGATAGTGCTGGTTTTTGAGTGGACCGGCATCGCTTTTTTGTTCCACTTTTCGATCTGTCTGTGATCCTGGGAGCAAGGGCCCAACGTTGATTTCAGACGAAGTAGGAGCATCAATTAAAACAAGATGCTCCGATACTGGGTCTGAACTCTGGTCTGATTTCACAGCAGGTGATTGAGCTTGTATGGTTGCAGAAACCTTGGCTGGACTCGGCATCTTGCTACTGCCTTTTTCTGGAGCACTCTTGCTTCGCACCGGTTGGTATCTAGGAATAGGCAGCTTAAGGTTCTTCTGGATTGGCTGTTGCTGTTGTGTCTGAGGTAAGGCCACCAATGAGAAGGTCCCCTCTTGTCCAGCCACCTGCATGAGTGCATAGTTCTGGGCAGGGACAAGGATGGATTTGGGGCTGACAGCCGTGGATGCTTCTGGAAGGGCTGAGGGAGGTTGGCAGGATAGAACTGCAGAGGATGGAACCACTGCTGGGGCTTTGGGGGCAATGCTGCGAAACTGAAGACCCTTCATTTGGGAGTGGGGCCGTGCATCACCTGTCAAAACAAGATAACGCCTTCAACTTTGTCATTTAAGAAATAAGATGTAACAAAAGTGAACTGAAAGAAAGAGAGGGTCTAACTCCTTTTTCATTCTCTCTCTCTCTCTCTCTCTCACACACACACACATCAATTTACCCTCAGGCAAAGAGTTTGAGCCCTCTTTGATTCAAGCTCGGCGTACTGCTCTTGTTCAGTTCACTAAGTCCTATACCTCCTCATGCTTCCTAATGCACACTGACACGCACACACTTGCAGAAGGAATAAACCGCCTTTAAAGCACAACAGCTGCCCAGCAGTAGAATCATTATTACGTTAGTCTCAGCCTCAAACGTCATGCCCACGGACCGTTGGCTAAACGTCTGATGCATATGAGACACAAAAGTGGAAACACTTCAGGAGTGTCAAAGTCATCATCGGATTGGTTGAATTCTACAGGATTTCCGGGAGACGTGTGTGTTGCGTTCTTTAACGTTCCGCCTGGAAACAAAGATGCTGTGACGCCAAACCCCCTCACGAAAGAAGAAAGCCGTAGTGTTTACAACTTATAAACTTATCAATCGGTCAAACGGCCTCATGGGCGGGCCTTGGCCAATGAAAGCTGCCATGGATTCCAGACCTTCAGCCGTCAGTCTGAAGGTCTGGCTACGCGAGACTATTATTACGTGAACAAGAATAACAGTTAAACAACCATACTCAAAACAAGTCATGACTGTCCACACAACCTTGTGGCCTTCTGCCTAACAATTGTTGATGTGAAAAATAACAAATATGAAAAAAACTCAGCAGTGATAAAAAAGTAGATTCACATTTATTCATTTGGCAGACACATTCATCAATAGTGGCTTACAGGGCATTCAAGATATGCATTTATTAGTTTGCATTTTCTTTTGGAATCAAACAAATGACCTTGTCACTGCTAGTGCCAAGTTTTAACAGTTAAGCAAACTATGTAACAAACTAGATAGTTCTCTATAACTTTTTGACAAAAGAGATGCTTTGGAACAATGTTTGATTAATTAGAAATAAGTATTTAGTAGCAAGTACAACTAAACGAAGTAGTCAGGAAAAAAAAGAGAGTAAAGTGTAGCTCTAAAGATTGCTGATGAAGATGGAAAAAAACTAAATGATGTTTCAGCACTCAGTTTTTAGAAGTCTGTAAGCATAAAACAGGGTAATTCCTAATCCCATTTAGGCCGCTATAGAATTAATTAGGTTAAAAACAGAAACATCATAAAGAGCTGGGCTTTTACTGGACCTAAAAGGGGAAGATGAGAACAGTTGAAGGGGAGGAGAGTACTCTATTTTAGGTGCAAGAAATGGGGACTTATTTTTAGCCACAGTCCCATGAAGAAAAATAAGAGCATCACAGACCAATTAGCAGAATGAAAGGTGAGGAGTTCAAAGGTGAGATCTGGTGTTTATGTTAGTAGAAGGGTTACGCTCTGGCCACCATGTATATCGTATGTAGGTCTGTTTTTTGTTGTGAGTACCAGAATGTGTTTGTGGGAATGAATTTAGTGTTCATATATGTGCGTGTTTACTCCTCACTCATGCGTAAAGAAATGCAGGCCAGATGTTGGTCAATAGGTCATGGGGACTTACCTGATAGCCCATCATTACAAAATTGTTATCTAATTTTGTAGTTTAATTCTAAGTGATTATAGGGATGGACACAGGTATCTAAGTACTTGGAAGGGACTTTAAAACACATTAACATTTCACAGTGATCTAAATTCAGTAACAGTTACACACAAACATATAAAAAATGGCCCACATTTTTTATTTTGTGACTGGTTACATTGTCATTTTTGATTCATCAGACAACAATTAGTGGCAATTAAGTGTCAAGATTATGGGACATTCACATAGAACGCATTTTTCCACTTAATAGATATGAGATGAATGGAACAGAATGTGTTTTTACCCCTTATTAAACATTAAAAATGTCTGTGTGATGAACATAAAAAAAGTACTCTTGATTTATCTAATCGACATTATTTATTTAACACATACTTATTTACAAATTTGCATATATCATATCTGTACATACAAAATTGTCTATATTATATATTGTGTTTTTGCTTTTTTGTACATTGTCTATTTTGTATATTTTTATATTATTCTTTTTATTATCTGTGTCCTGTCTTGTCACTGTCATTCTGTTGCACTGTGGAGCTTCTGTCACTAAAACAAATTCCTTGTATGTGTAAACATACCTGGCAATAAAGCTCATTCTGATTCTGATTCTGATTCTAAAGCACACAAAATCTTTGTGACTACAACAGTGATTATTATTAGTTGACCTTAAAAGATGAGCTTCATATTATCTCTATACTCACTTTGTGTGTGTGATTTCAGAGGGCTGGAACGATGCTCTTGGGTTTTCATGTCTGCCACACTGTCACTGAAGATCCTGAACAAACAACAAATACAGAGAACAGAACTGAACCTCTGCTGTGTAATTAACACAATAGATGCTTTAAATTACAGTGTTTAAAGGTGTCTGCCTGCGTTCAAACGATGTCTTCTCCCCCCTCTCTCCCTCTCACTATCTCGATTAAAACCAGAGGACATTCCAGATGTCACACAGGCTCAGATTAGAGTCAAGGCAAAGGCAGAAAAACAACAGGAGGGGAAGGATAGAAAGGGAGTGAAAGACTGTTAACCGAGGAGGAGGGGACACTGAGCCAAGTGAGATGGGAACCAACCCTAATGTGTGTGTGTGTGTGGTAGTGGGACGAGGACAGGGGGGGGATGTCATTTGGCCTGTACATGAAGGTCCTCATCTGTAGCAGTGAGATAGCAGCCTTGGAGTGTGTGCGTGTGTTGCGGGGGACTATATTTTAGGGAGGGGTTTGTCCAGTACCCTGTAGGTCTGAAAGGAGATGAAAGGAAGGGATCTGCAGGAGATAAGAGAGGTGGACACACACGGCCACTCTGGCTAGAACGTCCATATCCAGCAGCCATGAGCTCTGACTGCCACAGATACACACACACTTACATACACAGCACATCTGTCATATCTCTATGCCTCTACAAACTTCCCAATCTCTAAACACAACAGCGGTCTGTTGTACCATATTTTCGCTTGTTTAATCAAGCCTGTGTTGGCTAATTCCCCTGTTGTTCTGGGCAAGCTGTGAAGTCGTTAACACGTGTGAAAATAAACAAAATAGGGAAAAGATGAAGAGACAATAAACTGCACATGCAAAACATTCTCAGCCAAGTTCCTTCAGAAAAGTCAATGATTTTGTCTCAAAAGAGAAAGTCCACTGATCTGTTTGATATGACAACTTTAAGTGTTAGAAAAGTCTAAAAGTCTTTAAAACTGTGAAATAGAAATATAAGAATTATGTAGTTTTGGTAAAATAGTTATATGTATGCACAATTTATATTTGTCTACAAAACTGTCCACTTTAGAATTTTTGACTGGTAGTGTACAGTGGCCCCAAAAAGTACTGGACACTTAGACAAACATTTTTTTTAACTTGATACCAGCTGGTTAAAAGTCAAATAGCAAATGTGACTAGGTTTGATATATGCATCTAATATGATGCAATCTATATGTTTAAACTGCACAAGTTCCTTCAGAGAAGTCAACAAGAATTTTAATTCCCAAAAAAGAAAGTCCACTGATCTGTTTGATATGACAATTTAAAGAGTGTTGTTTCACAAGTTTACTGAGATGATTTAATTTTGAAATCACTGAGACAGATATCTGATGATTTTTTTAAGCTTTCCTACTTAAAAAGTATTGGACACTTAAAAAATTAACTTTATACAAATTTAAATGTAGGCTATAATTGCTTACTGAGAAAAAATTGGTAATTAAATTACAGTTACTTGTGAAAATGTTAACGATTACAAAGGGGGTTACATCTGAATATTTTTACAAACACACACACACACACAGATTTAATTGCTTTCTTTCACAAACTTCATTGACTGCTCTAAAATATGAGACATCAATGTTTCAGGAGTTTAAGACAGAATAGGACACATGCTTATTCAATAACTTATTTCTCAAGATTAATTGTTTCCCCCAAGGCATTGTTAGATGCCAGTGTTTCCTGTCATAGCTGTGCAAAGATTTGATTTCAAAAATAGCATCGTAGCTATTAAACTATTTCTTGTTATGATTTAAAATCTAAATTTAGTTCTAATTATTCTGAAATTCTGAGTATTTAACCTCAGAATGCTCTTAAAGTAAAAAGAGGTGCTAAAGTCTGATTTTATGGTGGCTGTGCTTTTAAATTGTTAAAAATTTAATTGTTATAATCTTAATTCAAGTGAAGTATTTTGAGTATTTTGAAAATCTGACAGTAATCAGTGTTCAGTACTATTGTAAGGTTAACCCTGTCTGCTTTAAATGTTTGAAAATGAATAACAGTTGCAAACATTCATTAGAAATTTAGAAAAGTAATCAAAAAGTAATCAATTGGAATCAGTTGCATTACTTATTACATTTTAATAGGTTGGGTAACTTGTAATCTGTAACCTATTACATTTCCAAAGTAACCTTCCCAACACTGATTGTGATGTACATAAGAGTAAAACAGAATATCAAAAAAGAAAAAAAATGTAGGGTGGGGACTTTGTTCTATACATCAGCTGTTTGAGTCAGATCTGGATGCCTCACATGAAGAAGAAAAACCATCTTATAACGTAGTTGATGTGTACAAGGGTGTGTGTTTGAGTGAAAGGTCAGTTGTCTCTCTCAGAAGAGGAGACATTTTCAGAGAAAACACAGCACTGTTTGCCTATCTCTGATTTTTTTTTCTTTTTAAAGTTCCTTGTTTAGAAGAGACTATGCCTCTCCACAGCAGACTTACAGACACACAGTTTTGCACACTTACACACACACACACCTGCAGTATCTTATCTTGTGACAGCCAAAGCAACAAAATATTAACCAGAGGAAATGAAAACACAAACATGCCAGGTACATCATAACACGCTACGTACATGCATCTGCAAAAAGACTGCACTCTGCAGGAACAATACAACAGATGTTAAAACATGTCTGTCAACCAGAGCACCGTAACAAAAGAACCACATGAAATAATATCAACGCTGCATAACACACGCACAAACACACTCTTGAGTAATTAGCTGTCACCTGAGCCAATCAATGTGGAAGGGAAAAAATCTATTCCAATTTCAAAACTACAGGCTTGCCTGTACACGCAGATGTGGACTAATCAATAAGAAAAGCATCCCGCATCAGAAAGACGAGAGAATACAGAACTAAAATATTCCCACTGGCTAAATTATTTCAGTGTAAATCACTGAATAGTGAATACATAAAGGAATCTCTCCCATAAATGCTGCTGAAAGATATTTTGCAGAATATCCCTGCTGCTCTTTTTTAAACAATGAAAGTGAACGGGAATGAAAGGACAAAACAAAAAAACAACAAAAGTACCACATAGTCTATATGATTTATGAAGTATGTTCCAAACTTTCTGTAACTTTAATCATATTTTTATGTTAGGAGCAGAATGAAATTTACGTTCTTCAGTGAAAAATGTAGTAGATTTTTGCGCATCCAAATATTTTGCTTAGGCCGTTCTATTTAAATTCGTGATTTGTTGACTGCAAAATCCAAATATTAAATGGAACGGTAAAATAATGTTATTAACCGGTTAATGGCAATTTTCAAATTTTGATTCTGTTCGGAACTATTAAGTTTGATTTCATTTCTGTTTCTGGTCATGTTCCTGTCAAAATTTCGTTCGTTTCCAGTTTTCGTTTTCATTCATTGAGCCCTGATCTTGAGATTTGAGATTAGGCATATTCCGGTATTAATTGATATTGCTTTTATCACGGTATACAGTATTATCACGATGTTGAAATTTAGTTAAAAAAAAGTGCTGTCATAATACAGTATAACAGGTTTAATAACGTTTTTCTTATAACAAAAATAACTGAATATTTAACTACAATAAAGCAATACACAAAAATGTATAAAGTAAAAAATTTTACACAGATTAAAGTGCAAAAGAATTATAAAGACCAATAGGTAACACTTTACAATAAGATCTCATTAGTTAACCTTAGATAATGCATTAACATTCACAATGAGCAATAGCTACATTTGCTACAGAAGTTATTAATCTTTGTTAACAAATACAACTCTTAGTTCAGGTTAGCTCATTAAATAACACAGTTGCAACTTCTGATTTTAACAACGTGTTATTAAATATTGGAATTACCTAAGATTAATTAATATTTAGAAGAATTTTTCATTGGCAGTTTATCTTAACTAATGAATTAACTAATGTTAACTAATAGAGCCTTAATATAAAGTGTGACTGAACATTAAAGAATCAAAACACTTTTAAACAACATCTAGGGCATGTTGTAGTCCAGATTAAAATGTAAAAACGTTTGAAAATAAATAGCCTATTAAGTGTAAATATTTAAGTATTTTGCACTGTGATGAACACCATAGTGAATACACAAATCTGAATGGCTGTTTAAATAATTTAAACACATTTCAGAAACAGAAAGTAGGGCAGCTGCTTTGTTTACGTGGTTTCTGGGGTAACGGCTGCATTTCTGCTATTCAGCGCCATCTGCTGTCAGAGAGTGAAAGTGCACTTTAATCCAGAGCTCTCTCACGCCTCCGCCATGCGCTTCTCATCCATGCTTGTTTACATTAGAGTGCGCACGCGCAGCTTACAGCGGTGTTGTGCATTGTGACCAGTTGATGGGAAAAGTATTCTCAAAATGCATTCAAAAAATCGAAATAATTTGTAATAAATAATTATTCTCTGTATTTTGAAGTGCCCACGATAACAATATTGCGCATATTCATTAAGGCACATGTCTACTTGAGATCCAGTGATGTTTGACTGAACTGATTTCAAACCCTGAGTGTCAAACTGCAAATTAAACCACTTTATAAACTCACTTTTTAAAATCATTTTCGGAGCTTGTAAATTGTATGGAAAACACTGTTACACTAAATTATAATTAGTATTATAATTAAATTTAAAAAAAACATTTTCCATGTCATACTTCTCAGGACATAAAATAATATTAGCAGTAAACACGTCTGGATGCTTGAGAAAAGGATGGTTGAAAATTTCATGGAAATGTTGCAGGAGTCAAAAGATAACGGTGTGTCATAATTTCACTTGGCAGTGACTTTTTTTCTTGAAGACACTGTGGTGAGGAGCCTCATTTCCACAGAGCCGACCAGACAGGATGCTGTAAATCAAGGCATTGAACTTTGAGCCACAGAATGCAGTCGCCAAGGGCAACTCAGTGTGTGTCACCTCTACGGTGAAGTGTTGGAAAGGAAGTGACTGCGACAGTCAAAATGACTCTCAGCACTTGGGTTGATGTTGCATGAACGTCCACAGTAGGAGGAGGGCAAGTGCTACAATTATGCATTTAGTTGGGTAATTGTAGCTTCTAGAATACAGAAGTGAGAAGGCACAGGCATTTGGGAGGATTGGTCTTTGATAATAGCATTCACCCAGATTAAGTGATCGGGGGAGGCCAAGAAACCGTAATGAAAGTGTGAGAACCTGTGGCCAGAGGCTAAGTCTATGTGAGTCACCTTATAGAACCTTTAAATGACCTTTTGCTGTTTGGTGTGACATTTGTATTCATTAAGTAGGTCACACAGTAGAAAAAATGTGTGTGTGTATATATATATATATATATATATATATATATATATAGAAAAATGTAAAGATATTTTGAAGAATGTTTTTTAAAATGTTAAAATATAAAAAATAAATGTCTTTTTTTTTCTTTTTTGTACAGTGAAAGTCAATAGAGACCAACAATGAACTATATTGGCTGTACTGACAGCTGTATGGAAAAAAAAGTTCATTGTTTTCTTGAGAATAATGGTCCTACAGATTTGGAATGACATGACAGGTAAATTATGGATAAAAAAATTATGAGATTGACTGCAAATTACTGACATTGAATTATTGATTCTGTTGACAATCCTACATTAATTTTATCAGTTACAAATTAAAAAGGAAAACTAAAATATATAACATTCTATTTATTTTAAACACACGTCTTCCGCTTTACATGCTCAAGCTCTTTAAAGTCGACTTGATTCTGATCGGCTGCATTATTACATTTTCAGTTACAGTTATCGTGCTTGGTGTGAACGGGCCTTATCTCACTCAGTACCTGTGGCTTAAGCAAAACAGCTAAAACGGTACTAACAAAGAACAAAAGAGAGGAAAACAAAGCAAGGAAGGCCAACTTTACAGGAACACAGGCAGAAAGACAAAGACCTGCATCAAGTATTCCTGAGTGATGGAAGGTGTGGTTAAAGATCTCGGTCTTCAAATCTGTGTATATTATCAGAACCGAGAGGCCAGGGAAAAGAAGCCTGTTATAATATGCACATTTTTAATGTTAGAGAATATGAAACTGAGCATCAAAGCTTATGCAGATACTCCTGCCTCAGTACTTGTTCAGGTTTGGAGACCCACTGGATTTAAGAGTGAACTCAGGTAGCTTTAAAGAAGTAATAAGAGGAACGGTTGTCTAGATAGCGTAGAGCCAAGAAGAAAGCCCGTCTGCACATAAACATGGTTCGTTGTGCGATCAGTGACCAACATTGCATTTAAATCAACAGACACAAGTGTATTTTCACTTTCTGCTTTTGGGGTTAAAGGGATGGATTAGCTAAAAATGAAAATTCAGTCACCTTTTACTCATCATTCCAATCCCGTATGACTTCTGTGGAACACAAAAGGAGATGTTAGGCAGGATGTTCGCATTCCAAATATATGATAAGGGGCTGGCAGAGTACCAATAAAAAAAAGTGACTCATACAATAGCTTTGTGTGAGGAACAGACTAAAAATTGGAAGTGGAATATAGTACACAAGCCATATAAGAGCTACCTTTATGAGGCTTTGTAATTTCTTGAGCTTGACAGCCCTTTGTCAACATTCACTTACATTGTAAAAGAGCAGCATGAACAATCTGGTGAGTAAATGATGACAGAATTGCCATTTTTGGGTGAACGATCCCTTTAAGCTTCGGCATGCTGTTTTACCCCCGGTCCCTCTGAAATCTCCCAGGAATCACCCACATTGTGTTCAACAAAGGCACCAGTTGTAAATCCAGACTTCAGAGCGCGTGTCATGTGATTGAGGAGCTGTCTCTCATTTCCCAGAATACAGAAGTGAGAAGGCACAGGCATTTGGGAGGATTGGTCTTTGATAATAGCATTCACCCAGATTAGGTGATCGGGGGAGGCCAAGAAACCGTAATGAAAGTGTGAGAACCTGTGGCCAGAGGCTAAGTCTATGTGAGTCACCTTATAGAACCTTTAAATGACCTTTTGCTGTTTGGTGTGACATTTGTATTCATTAAGTAGGTCACACAGTAGAGAAGACTGCCTAAACCCTCAGACTTCATCTTCAACCAACTCCCATAACACCATGCTTCCCTCATTTCATCACTATGCCCTCATTTCCAAATTTCTCTCCACTTCCATCTCTTTGCCTCTCAGTACTAGGGTTGCGTGGTGTAATTCTATTAATGCTTGCTAATGCTACTTTTTAATGCTTTCTATTGTGTTATGTTTATTTTTACTCTTTTAATAAATCCCACAAATAGTCTCAAACTCACAATTTCATTCAGTCATGTTCACACGTTCATTGAATTAGTCAACAAATCCTTTATTAAATGAACTCACAGAATCTGTTAGAGCAGTTACCAAATTAAAACATGCAAATCGTTTTTTTTTTGTCCTCAAAAAAGAATTTCTGATGTCAAAGGATAGTTTCTGTTGAAATTCTTTCATCATTTACTCACCGTCATATAATTCCAAATCTGCATGATGTTCTGTGCAATGATTTTTTAAATATTAATAAATAAATAAATTAAATATTTATTTTTATGATGAGTTGGAGAATCTGGGAAACATTGTCTGGCGAGATCAAAGAGAAGCGAGGCTGTAATTATCACGGTAACCAACGGTAAAGCTGTTAAATTAAGCAGTCTGTTAATGAGAAATTTCTCTCCTTCTCTCATTAGAGGAGGTATTTATGAGGCGAGTCAAAACCGCACACTGGGGTCTGGAGAGTTATTTATTGATTGAGGGCATTTATCATACCTAAACATTCACTAAATAAAGAGCTACGCCGTTCCAATGGAACTAATCAGGTCAGAACTACTCGACATACAAGAATACACTAAAGCCAGATTCAATTAATTATAACAAAAAGAACATTCAAAATCCCATAACCCAACAGCTTTGCCTGAGAAAGTGGTATAACTACATAAGCACAAGGTTTGATGGAGAGGTCTGTTTGACAGCTGCCACAATTCCTGATGAGGTACAAAAGACGGAAAGCTTTGAAAGAGAGCATGAGTTCTGAATTCTTATTAAATATTGTTTAAAAAATATGTTGAAAAGTTTCCAATTTTTGAAAAAATTGGACAGAAACAGCTGTCTATTTTATAACAAGGTAGCAAAGGGAGTTCTCGGATCTCCTGAGACGCTTCAATGGGGATTTGTCAAGGCCTTGGTCTCTTGTTGGCTGTAAACAGGAAATATACAGCTGGATCCAGCACTTAATATTGTTGACTATGTACTGCACAATGTACAGCACTCGAAATACATGACTATACCTAAATGCAGAACATTCCACTATGTTGCGGTGCTCTAGCTAGCGGTTGCCCCTAAAGTGACTGACAAGCATCAATGATGCACAAAGAATAAGACTATGCTAAGTAATGACTAGAACAGCTCCCCATTGAGACTTTATAAGAACTGGTAATGAAGAACCATGACTTATCAATAATAGCTTAGCATTATTGCAGTGGGCTGCAGTGTAGGACTGTGGTAACAGCAGTGCTAGCAAATCTGACCTCAACCATATCAGTTTAAATAAAAATCAATTGTGTCACTGTGCCACGAGAGAATAAGAATGCTCTAGGAAACCAAGTCAAGTGATCGTTTTATACAATGGGATATAAAACCAAGCTGGCAGCCAAAGACCAACAACTGCAATGGCTTCATTTTGACGGAGTGAGTGCGGTGCTATGGACAATAAAGGCTCACACTCAAGTTTAAAAGGTCACTTTAGTGAAAAAAATTCATGAGGAATCTGTGTGACCAACTTGAACCTGTGACGAAATCTGCAAGGAAATTTTTTTTCCCTTGTGTGAAATTCGTGTGAAATTCCAGATTGCTTATGAAATGACTGGATTTTACACGTGAAAATTTTTAAATATGACCGCATTCAGTATGAAACGGAAATTGCAATATATTTCTTCTCTATTGTGATGCCTACACAAGTGAAACAGCTTCATGAGCAAGGAAAAAAAATAAGGCGGCACTTGATTTTATCCATCAGGAGTTGATTAAATCATTGGATTGTTGTTATTTGCTAATTGCTGCAATCTCATGTGATTGACAGGTTTATGGCCCAACCCTCGTGCCAACGTGCACATCAACAAGGAAGAGAAGATATGAATAATATAATGATAAATTATAATAAACATTGCAATATTCCATAAAAATAAGAATTGGGAATTTTGGTTTCATGCTGACTAATGTAGCTAGCAGCACATTTGTCTTCTGTATGACGTGCAGTAAATACCCAAAGAATCTTCCGTTTCGCTGTCCCAAGATGGCCCACAATCCTCTTCTTCCTCCTCTTCTCCTTCCACAGCCCTCCACTCACCTAAAACAACCACAGAACAAACATTTATACACATTTACTAAGCATTTACACTTAGTCACTTCATGCATTTGGATCAATCGTATTGCTGTCTGATTGGGTACGCACAATCCATTTATACTTGGCAACATAAATGCGTCTCCACATATCGGATATAAATCTGATCTAGTACTCCCATGCTATGCAAACAAAGTTCACTTTGATGCTAATGTCAGCCAGTGAAATTTTCCACCTTAGTGTTTGAGATTTGTGGCCACTCTTTCTAGGTTTCATATCAATGATTGCGAGGCTCCTGCGCTTCCTTATGCTGTCGTAGTTTATTTGAGGAAGATTAAACGTTATACGTGTGGCCTGCCCTGAACAACCAGCTGCATTTATACTTGGTCTTTACTCTTTTCATGATCCTGTAACTATGAAAAATGACCAAGTGTAAATACCCCCTCAAAGGACCCTTAAACCACATAATCTGTCCAGCACACAGAAAAGACTAAATAAATAATAAGAACGTCCAAGTAAATTATTCACTTTACATTCTTGATCCACACTGACTACCCTTGTTAGACACTCCCTTGTGAAACAGGAAAAAACGAGATGTGGAAAGAGAAAGTTCATTCACCTGTACGCTAACTCAGCAAAAACTACGTCTTCAGCATTTGTGAGCAGCAGAGATAATCAGGTCCAACACATTCTTTGTTTCGAAACAGGGATTGCTAGTGCACAGAAGTGCACAAACATGCTCTCGCACACCAATGCAGATGCTGAAAAGTCCACCAACACACAAGCCTCCACTGTAAACACGCTTCCTCTTTGAATCTTCAGCTGTAAATTATGGATGTTCTGGGTGTAACAGTGTGATAGACGAGGGCCCTGGAGTCCCATCAGGGTAAAACACAAAGCTTACAACTCTCAACTTAGATGCGTGTGTGTAGAGGTCAAAAGGAGTCAGCACCACACAAGGACACAAGCAGATGCTGAAGCACTCAGTCAATAACGTTTAGCCCCAAGACACCGTTGACCTCACCGGGAGGTCCGTATGAAATCGCGCTTTACCGTCTGTATGACTATAATCTGCTCTACAGTCAAGGGAGAAATTATCTCTTTATAAGATGTATTACTGAGGATTGCTTATTGATTATTCATAATGCTTCACAAAGTGGCTCTCTATGTCTCTGAATAATGTATAAGAGACTAAAATACATGGTATTAAAATAAAATGAGTCAACTTTAGGGCTTTTATTTGGGAAGTTCTGGAAAGTGGGACATCCTGTGTTTTTGTAATGATTAGTATAATGAGCATAATGAGAGTACGATGTTGGTGTGACTGTGCAAATTCATTAATCATGTTAAATTTGGCTTGCATTGATCATTCATCTAAATGATAATAAGAGCATTTAAAAAGAGCTTAACCTTAACTTCATGAGCCAAATGAGATGAGGCCAAATATTTATCGTGCGGTGTTGGCAGCTGCCATAAATAAAAAAATAAAAAAATAAAAAAAAGAACTCTGCAAAGAGTTTTCACATACAGTGCTTCTAAAACAAGAATTTATAGTGAAAACATACTCTTTTTTTTTTTTTTTGAAGAAAATGTCATCTATGCTTGTCATGTACAGAGTAATGTAAGTCTATGATACTTTCTCGCCTGTTTTATTGTCCACCAGGCGAAGTCTGCTCAATCCTTGCCAAAACATTAGAGGTCTGCTGCATTTGGGGTATCTCTGTAAAAATGGCAAATGACAAAGAGTCAGTCATCATTTAAATGTTTGGGATCAGCAAGAAAGAAGTTCCTCACGCTCCAAGGCTGGAGGCTACAATTATAAGATAAAAATTCAGTAAAAACAGTAATAATGTGAAATATTATTACAATTTAAAATAACTGTTTTCTATTTTAATACATTTTAAAATATCAGTAAGTTTTTGAAGGAAGTTCCTCATGCTCCAAGGCTGGAGGCTGCCATTATTTGATACAAATACAGTAAAACAGTAATATTGTAAAATATTATTACAATTTAAAATAAATGTTTACTGATGATTTACTGTCAAAGTTCAAATATTTACTCTATATATACTGTCAATTTAGGTCAATATAATGCACCATTGCAGAACAGAAGTATTCATTTCTTAAAATCTTTCTGACCCCAAACTTTTGAACAGTGAATAACCGACCTCAAACTTTTTGTAAATGAGTAATTCATGTGCTAAATTAATTTCTGAATGCCGATATAATACATACGGTGTCACCCGAAAACACTTTCGTGCACCCAGCCACAATGAAAGTGTGCAAACTGCATTTAAAATATGAAGTATGTAAAGTGATTTAAGCACTAAATCCTCTAAAAACTCCAGCATTATCAGCAACAATGAAAGCTTTGCCTTCACCTTAAAGAAACTAGCTGTTGACTGGTATTTCACCACTGTTTAACACTCTCACCACTCTTCTCCACAGTCAATCCTACAATCAAAATGCAAGCCTGCCACTCATCTCTCATAGAACAGTAAAAGCACATCCCTCCATTCATTCAGAGCACAAATGGTCTAATGCTTTGGGGTTTTGCCTGAAAGAAAACTGAAAACTCTGTCATCATTTACACACCCTTACAGAAGAACATAAGGGTCAGTATATAATGACAGGATTTACATTTTTTTCAAATCTATCCCCTCTCATGCATGAATGCCCAACGGCAAAAGGCCAAGCCACCTTCAAATGTAAACAATTACTCTTTGATTAAAGCTTTCCACTACAAACATTGCACAGTGTTTACCCCGATAGAGCCGCCGATAAAATACCAGCAGACAGCCAAGTGTGTGTGTGTATTTGTGTTTGTTCACCGAAATGGTTTTCAGTGAACACACGATTATCTCAGACACACACACTTTATAAGCAGTCCTGTGCTGTGACCTGGAGTTTGTAATTGCACATGTGTGCGACTCTATACTGCATCACTGGCTTTTTTTTTTTTGTCAAACTGAACGCACTCTTTTGTCCAATTCTGACGATGTCAGCACTCAGCACTCGGCTTGACTTGAGTAAAATGTCTTTATATACAAAGTTTTGCATTTGTTATACTGAAAACTTGAGACAAAAATCCACAAATATACAGTGAAATACGGTAACATTTAATGACATGACAAAACATGACAAATAACAATTTAGTCTTTTAACAGATAAAATGTTGCGGCCTTTTCATAGTCTTTAACTGTAACGAAGCCACTAAAGACTGTCAGCACATCACTGAATAAAACAGCAGCAGGTGTTTTTGTTGTCGTTTAAAAACACTAGTTTAGCAACAGACACAAACAGATTTAACAGGGTATGGTTAGAATTGCACAGCTGTACCCAGGCCTAAATTAGACCGGACTGACTGCATGTCAAAAAGACGAGAAGCAAAATTATACCTTTCAGCCCTGGACTCTGGTATTAAACTTCGCTTGGTGAGCTTCAATGATGTCATTATTACCAGCCATGTGACCAAAGGGAAGAGGCCCTGCTCCAGTGATGTCTAATGAAAAGCCTTTTAAAAAAGCATGGTATTAAAATATGAAAGTTTTTAGGGTCAAATTATCTTATCATTTAGCCCCAGTCTTTTACAGATGGGGCCATTTTCAAAGGCGAAGTGTGTAGTTTTTGATGTTTAAAGTACTTGCCTTAAAAATATTTAAATATTATAAAATGCTTTGATGTTCAAAAAAGCCAGTCATAGGTTGACTTCCTAAAGAGTGTATACAGTTTGTCAAACAATGGTAACAAAGAGCGACATGATCGTTTAGGAAACCTGTTTGGAAACAATTCTGATTTGGGTCATAGTGGGTTATTACTTTCATAATGTAACTTATTTCCAAGTAGAAAAAATAAAATAAAACAAAATGAAAATAAATTAATTTAGAATATTTTTTAATAAAGACAAATGATTTTAATAAAATAATGGTCCCACTTTATATTAGGTGTCTTTAAATACTTAATAATAAAATCATGAATTGTTAGGTACAATGTACCTATTGTGTTCATGTTAAATTTCAAAACACTTTTGCTGCGATTGAGGTGGGTTTGGGTAAGGTTAGGGGTAGGTTTGGTGGTGGTGAGAAGAAATTGTTGAATAAAGTCATTATTTTTGTTTTCTTTGAGCACAAAAAGTATTCTCGTAGTTTCAGAAAATTAGGGTTGAACCACTGGGCTACACATGGGCTATTTTAATTATGTTCTTACTATGTTTCTAGGCCATAAAACGTTTCAGTTGCATTGCTGTCTATGGAGGGCCAGAAAGCTCTCGGATTTCATCAAAAATATCTCAGTTTGTATTCTGAAAATAAACGAAGGTGTTCCGGGTTTGGAACGACATGAGGGTGAGTAATTAATGACAGAATTTTCATTTCTGGGTGAACTACCCCTTTAAGGGTAGTAGTAGGGTCAATAGCGTAATTATAGATGCAATTACTGGACAGTATTTTCAAATATAAGTACAATGTAAAAACATGTACACATTGTATTAAATGATTCATTTAAATGTAAGTACATAGCAGTTAAGGACACGTAATATAAAGTGGGTCCAAAATATTTTTAATTGTACCAATGAATATTTCACAAAAAGACAAGAAGATTGCATTAAGTGTGCTTTCATTTCATGTTGACTTCACGAATAAAGTTAAATGGCAGAAACTTAGGACTGAAGAATAAAGTGACGAAACAAAGTTAGGACTGGCCCTAGGCTGGACAGACACAAGTTTTGATGTTATTTCAAACCAACCATTTTATATTTAGCATTTCCATCAGAACTCTGCCTGAACTTGTTGAGCTAAATTTGCTCTTGTGTTTTTAAGCAAGAGTGAGTCACTTCTGAAAATGATTCTGAAGATCATTTGCCAGAGGTGAAGGATCTGCTTCACCCCATCATAGTGTGGCACTTTGTCTTCTGAAAGCCAATCAACCCCATAGTTCTTAAAATAAAATAAATATTTATAAATTGAAATATATATTTCAATTTCTTGATATTTATATGCAATCAAAAT